ATTTGAAAAGTGTCCTGAGATAACTTCTGTTATGAATTGGCGCTATACAAATTGAATTGAATTGAATTGAATATAAAACACAACTACTGTAGTAGTAGTTTGTTTTGTTTGGCTTTAACCATACCCACATTAATCCATTTGTTTTCATAGATGAGATAACCATCATACATGTGTCCAAGAGCCACCTAGTGGCTTTTCTGTGATATGGCCACCAGTGAGTTCTGTCAAGCTAACCTTATAATTGTTAGTTACATACATGTACCTGTATATAAATAAGGTTTACAAGGCCCCATAACGAAACGGGGATTATTTTGTAGATCAAAAGAGTCGTTCCCATACCGGGAGTCGAACCCGGGCCGCCTGGGTGAAAACCAGGAATCCTAACCGCTAGACCATATGGGACGCGTTAGGACTTTCCATCGGTATTGTTTTTGGTATAACCAATATAGGTCACTAAACGGATAATCTGGTAGAATTTGAGTGTGGTTGGTTTCACAAGACTCCTGCACTATTTACACCCTGTAATCTACCATCACGTTTAGTCAGTGCTATTTGAATTTGTAAGTATGCCATGGTAATTATTATAGACTTATGACAAATTAATATATTGATCACATTAAAGAGCAAATAATAAATTAATTAACTAATTTTGCATTTTGAATTACATTTCAATTAAATTTAAAGTTTAAAAAAATAGGATTAAATTGGTAATTTAATAATCAGATATCCTTAATTGTGTCTTTATAAGATTAATTTATAATTTAATTTTGAAAAAGAATTGCAAAATAGATTTTTAAAAAGCATTTATATCGAAGTTTTCGATCAATCAATTTATTGTATCTTTTTAATAATAACTGAATATGAATGAATACTGCAACAGTTGGAGGAGAGGATAGTGGAGTTAATGGATTAGATAAGATAATTTTGTACAGCTTTTTATGTGTACAACATCTGTTGGATTCAGTTGTGGAGAAATGAAAGTTAAACTGTACAATCACTGAGAAAGAAACAGCAAAGAGGAAGCTGCATTACCATTCAAAGACACATGCAGGTGCTGTTTGACAGTGGCTAGTCCAAATCGGAATAAATCAGCTTGTAAATAGCTATATTTTACTGTATTTACTGTTTTTCACTCAAATTCTTTCTCCACTGCAGCAGGCATTTTGACTTGTCATAAAAGACAGAGCAGAGGTGTAATTAATAGCATTAATGACCCATTAAATGATGGGTTTTCTCTACAACGACAGGTCAAAATGCCTTCTGTGAATACTTATATTATGGCCCATCCTGTCATATAAATAGTATTAATAGGTCTGTGATGCACTGAAAAGAAATACTCTATAAAGGTCTCTCAAAGAGCCTCTATCTGAGAGGGAAGAACACAAACATATACACTAACAGTGATGTATAGTTTGTGTATAATATAGTGAGCATTACACAAACACACACACAGAGGAAGTAGCGGCTTGTTTGCACCCCTCAGTATTAACACAGAGCATTTATTTGCATAAAGAGGAAGCCACAAACAAGTGTGCTTGTGGGATGTAGGTGGGATGGGGGAGTACATAATATCATAGAGGGACAGATCAGGTTTATGCTGTGTATCTCGCTGTAAAAGGCACACTTCTGGACAGTGAAAGAGAAGCTCTGTCACCCTCAGCCTCTCCATCCACCTGCCACTGTACAGCCTGAACAGAGATCATGGACATCGTGGTGGAAAACATCTACCTTCTGGTCATCGTCACCCTCATCAGCGCACTTCAGAACGGTGAGAGAAAGCAAGAAGCCTCTTCTGTTGAAAATAGGAGTCAATCGTAGTATTAAAAATCTGAATGTAGTAGTTAAAACTGATGTTGTGGTGACATTAATGATGTCTGTGTTTTAAGCATTCTTTGCCCTGAAGGTAGAGAAGGAATGCAACTCTCAAAATGCCAAATCATCTGATTTTGAACGGGTTTCTTGTGCCAAGTAAGTGCCCCTTCTCAATTACACTCACTCTACCTCACTTTCTCTATGACAGTGAAACACTGTATGGATTTGTGTTATTTTTGTTTCACTCATAAACTTTCCATTTAGTTAGTTCATTTCCTCAACATTTTTCTCCCATTGAGAGGCTGCCCTCATTTGCCTGAGCACTCCCAGATAGGGTTACTAACTGGTACAGAGCTCATTTGAATGCTTGCTGGGAAAGCGACAAAAGCTGTAAAAAAAACATTTATTCTTCCACCCTCTCAACAAGGTGACTCATTGTCATCTGTAGGCCGTATTCAAGTTACAGGTGTGAAAACTGCTCGTACGCTGGCAGTCTGTGGCTTATGGATAACTTGTCACATTGCAATCCAGGGATCGTGTGCAACCTAAAAGCAAGCTTGTTTATTAACTGTTATAACAAAAAAAATGTTATGCTCATTACAAAACCATATAGCACATAAAAGTTTGCCAACTCAAGATTATCTAACTCCTTTCAAACAATAACTCAATTAATTGATACATTTATAACTATTTTGTCAAGAGAAAACATTCTCATGTTTGTCAAATGTCAGAATTTGCTGCCTTTTACTGTTTTCTACCATTGTAAGTTAAATATAATTGGGTTTTGGACTGTTAAAATGGGATTTTTTCACTTTTTTTCTTCAGAATTTTATAAATCACACTATGAATTGGTAAAAAATAGTTGGAAATAATGAAGTTGCAGCACCGATATGATAGTGCTTCATTCTTAGATGTGCTTTTATAGCGAGGCTAATGCTTGAAATTCAACTGACATACCAGCTCAGTCTAAATCGCCCTATTTGTCCATGAGCAACAATTCACTTCCTGTTTTTAGAAGGAAATATCTGAGCCACATCCTGTCTTGTAGATAATGTTGAAGATTACAAAATGAATCACATTAGCCCATAAAATGTGATGCAAATGCTGAAAGTTCAAATATAGCCCGTCTTTTTTATTACACTATATATAATTCCAGTTTAAAGGTTAGTGTGGACATGAGTTATGAGCAGTTTGAGCAAAGACTTCATTTTCTTTCTCAGATTGTTTACTTTCTGAAGAGGTAAATAGAGGTAAATATTACACAAGAAAATTGCCCCAAAAAAGGAAAATAATTTTGTGTAACATGCAGGGTTGTGAACTACTATTCTGGTGTTCTCTGGATAACTCTCCTGACTTGCGCGAGACTGGAAAAGCTTTGAGAGACATGGTTCTGTGCAACACACTGTACTGATTATTGCAATTTATTGCAACAGCCAGTGCGTGCTCACTCGGAGAGTGTGGGCTCAGTTTTTCCTGGCTTCCCATTTCAACTTTGTTCCACCAACACTCAGAAAGCCACAGTGGGTTTTGTAGCTCATGCACTGTTTCATCCATCAAATCTTTTTACTATTCACAGCCACTTCTGCTCTCCTCAGTTTCAAAACATTTCCTAACAGCCATGAAAGACGGTCTTTGTATCAGCCATCACACTGACGGTAACAGATTGCTTCATAGTGTGTCGTTGCAGGTAACTTCCTTGAAATGTGCTAATTACACGTATTTATGCTTCTTCCAGTCGTAACTGTATGGATGCTTATCCCACTTTCCTGGCAGTGATGTGGTGTGCCGGTGTGTGTCTCAGTCAAGGTAATCATTAATCAGTTTCTGGATTGCCAGAAGAACACACCCACAGTAAATTCAACTTAGAACAAAGACAGGAAGACATTCAAGAGTATTTTGTTCTATATAAAATTGATTACTTAGTAACATGTTCGGGAAACAGAAACTTAAGAACTGCACATAAGCAGCATATGGCCAAAGGTATAAAGGAATGATTGTTAAACCTCTCCATTCCAACGTGTTGAAATATTGAATTTACTGACATACGATTTTAAATTAAATAATAAATTAAAGTTCAAAGTCAGTGTATTGTATTTCATCTGCAACATATTTACACTCTAAAGCCAAACACCTAGTTGATAAAAAACTGCCATAGCCGACAGAAACAAATACTGTACATTTAACCAACAAAATAAACTCACATGTACACAAAAACATGTATATTAAACCCAACTTTCACCAATTTGTTTCGAGAATATTAACTTATATACTATAATTTATCAGCAGGAGCCCTTTAGGTGTATGTAAACACTTACTCCATTTATTGTTTCCAGCTTTAACAAGAGACTTTTCTATTTTCAAAAGAAGAGAGCTGTTCTGGTATATGGTAACCATGTTTTAACACATTTAAATAGCATATAGAAAAATAATTTACAGGAAGTCTTCTTAAGATAAATATACACACTAAATTTGTACTACATTGCCATATGATAGATGCACACTAACACTAACAATATTATTATATGCTGCATCATTAAGACACAAAGAAACAATACCCATATACCTTTGGCCATACAGCGTGTTATGGAACCACATGGAGGTTGTACTCTATTCATTTTCTTTTTCTGTCGTCTGATTAGCTCCTGCAGCCTTTGCTGGGATCATCTATGTTGTTGTCAGGCAGAAGTACTTTGTTGGATACATGGGGCAGACCTCTCAAAGGTAAACAAACACAAGCGACCTATAGTATATTCTCTGTAGGCGTTCATTTAATACTTTTTAAATTTTCATTTATAGCACCCCCGGCTACCTGTTTGGAAAACGCATCATCTTCTTCCTGTTCCTGATGTGTGTCGTGGGTATCTTCAACTACCTGCTGATGCACCACTATGGCAGCAATTACAAAGAATACGTAGAAACCATCACCAGTGCTGCAACTGCTCTTCTCCTCATCCCTTAGTCCCTCAGTGTGTGTGTGTTTCACATCATGGCAGCAACACATGCCTGCATTTATCTGTTAACTAATGAGATATGTATGAAACTGATTTAAAACTCATAGACATTGTTGTAAAAGAGAATAAAAATAAAAGCTTCTCATAAACAAATGCTGATTCTCATAAAATAATTTGTCAAAAATATGTTTCATTCTTGTTCCTACAGCTGAATGTTTGAAGTACAAGGAGCAGAAGCCTTTTTGAGGATTTTAATGTGGAAATTGTACTTTTTTGCAGTAAAAAAAACAAACAAACATAGACACACATTATTGTTCCAAGCACACAGTATCTTCGTAAATGTCTAGACGGGATCTTCAAAAAGGTCCAGTGTGTAGGATTTAGTGGCATCAAGCGGTATAGTCGCTTCCACCTCCACCTCCAAGGGCGAAGCAGAAACTATGGGGGCCGTGAAACTTACAAAAAATGCAAACGGCCCTCTCTAGAGCCAGTGGAAGGCGACCCACGGCATCTGTAGATAAAAACGTCTCATTCTAAAGTAACGAAAACACAACAATTTTTATTTTCAGGTGATTAAACATACAGATGAATATTATATTCAATTTCTGCCAATAGATCCTCCTAAATGTCACACACTGGACCTTTAAGTACAAAAGTGTACAAATCTTTGATTCTGCAGTAGAACATATTCAACCAATCATACAACAGTTATAAATCATATAAAATGGGTTTTTAAAAAATCCATTTCGACACAGAATCTTCCTAAATAATCTTCATGGCATTCAGAATTTCCATGTAAGTCCTTGTTAGTGGTTTCCACCCACTGAACAGTAGAAATATCTGGACCCAAACAGCAATTATAAAGGTAGTTCTTGCAGTCCCAAGAGGTAGGCTGTTCCTTCACCTGGCAGGTTGGCGTACCACCATTCGTCTGCTGATCAAGAAACTTTTTTTTGAGGAAGCAGACTCCCATCAAAAACTGAACGGATAAACTCGACTTGCTCTTCATCCACCGCTGGCTCATGTCAGTCTCAACTGTAACAGATAAGAGCAGAAAAGACAAGTTAGAAAAGGTGCCTGTGTACACTCACAAATACGGAAAGGGATAAGAAGAACAAGTGACACTGACCTTGAATGTTCTTTTGCTGAAGCCAAACCAGAATGGGAAGTCAAAGAGGGCATCAGAATAATATTTAAGAGTGAAGGTGGCATCTCTCCACGCATGTTTGACCTGTATTAGTTTGTCTGTTGTGAGGTTTTTTGCTGCCCAGCTCTCCATTAGTTCAGTCAAGTCAATCTGAGAAAAAGAAAAGTCATTTCTCAATCAACTAATAATCACACACACTCAACTACATAAAAGTGACCATAAAGTACTGCTTACATCTACCACGTAGCTTTCCCCAGCGACAGAGGAGATGGTCCAGTCCAGGCCTCTCTCCACCTGCCACTTGATGAAAGGATTGTTGCCATCGATGGACACCACATACCGCTGCAGCACTGATCATTCATGGGGAAAACGTGGAGAGAGAGAGAGAGAGAGAGAGAGAGAGAGGCAGAAAAAGATGAAGTCATGTGCCATTAAGTACTGTGCTGTCATTGTAATTTTCTCCACTCCACCCTTTTTTGCAAATGTCTGGAAGTTTAGAAGCCAGCATGAGTCACCCATGGCCAACCAAACAGCATGACCCAGTTAGCAGCCCAGAGCTGAAGAGTACACACTGGGTTCAAAAATACAGGCTGAAAAATGCCAGTGGTGCTTTTGAAGAGCTTTTTTTTTTTTAAACTGTGTAATTACAACAAATTAGACTTTGTGTAACCAAGTCATGCTGACGTCTTTGCATTGTCCATAACGGGTGGACAGTTACCTCTGGGTTCATTGGCTGCCTTTTTGCTGGTCACTGAGGAAGTTTCTTCGCAGGCAGACACGAGCAGATAGATCCTCTTGGACAGCAGACTCTTCCTGGTGCTGGTGTACTCCCAAAGATTGTGCGTTTTAATTTTCCTGTTTCATCAAGGCAGTTTAAGATTAATTTCTTTGCATGTGAATATATATATATATATATATATATATATATATATATATATATATATATATAGGGTTTTTCCTCACCTTCCCAGCGAGTTCTGGAAAACTATGTTCCCTCTGCAGGAGTCCGAGTCATCGATGAGCACCAGGCTCCTCTCCGGATCGCTGTGGACCCGGTATCCAGACCCGAGGACCTCCACGGAGAGACCGGCCGGAGGATTCTCCAGGAACTCTTCTACAGGTGTCACTGTCACCATGCTGCTGCTGCGGAGGGTGCTGCTGTTTACACTGAGCGGCTCACGTGTGCAGCTTTAATAACGCCCGACCACCGTCAAGCTACAGGCGTTTACACAATAAGACTTCCGGTCTCCTTTGGCCAAAATAAATCCCATTTATGTAGCTGTGTTGTTGAGGAGCAAAGCATTAAACACCTGCTGCTTCTGTCACATATATGTCATCGTAATATATTTAATAATATCCTCCAAATGCATTCATTAGCAGTCATGATATGACATGAGAAGTCAATTAATCTTTTAGAGGATAAGTCGGTTGACAGACATTTAATTTAGGCTACTGCAGTTTTGAAAACGTATTAATTGTAAAAACAAACAAAAAAAAATAATTATAATTATAATAATGAAAAACAATTAATAAGAAAAACTTTAATCAAGCAAATAAACTTTATATAATTGCATTAAATATAATATCTTTGCGGCTTTAGATATACAAAACAAGACCAAATACTTCAATCAACTAATTTGAGAAAATAACTTTATGTTAATAACGTTAACAAACTACAAAAGTAAAGATAAAGACCCAAGTCAAGGAAATGTTGCTCATTTCAAATAGGATTGTGCTTTTATAATTCAGATGATCTACTTTGTTGATGTGGAGTCTGAATAAAAACAACATATACAATATTTGTAATGTCTAAGATGTCTATGGTTTCCTATTGATTTTTCCTTCCCCCAAAACTAATGATTGTGCTTTTAATCTGAAGACATATGTAGTTACTTCCTGTTTCATGATACAGATAGGCCCCTATGACATAACTCTAGATACTTGATTATTAGCTGATCAAAGCTCCTTGATCATCTAATAAATGAGAAAGTCAAACAAACTGAAAAACTGTATTGTTCCATACATTAAAGTTAATGGTGCTGGAATGTTGACTTTATGGGACACCACTTGAAGGCATCATTTGTCCTCATGTTTGGAAATACCGGAATAAGAGGTGGACTCTTGAACTCCAGCACCTGGAGTACTGAGTTCAAGATTTATGAGTCAGTGTGCTGCATCTTTGTCTTTCATATCAGCATTACAGCAGTATTTGCTTAGAACTTGTTTTTTGGATGAAAACATGGATGTACTGTTGCTCAGTTGTGACTTATAGCAGCATGTCCCTCTTCACATACAGTATTTACACTTTCCTGCTTCCTCCAAGCTGCTATAGAGTAGGATAGAGCCTTTCTCATTTCTTTTGGTACAGCTCACTTTATCCCCACAGAAATGTGAACACTCACAACTGTGGTTTCACAGCAGAACCAGCCTGTTTAATTTTTTGTGCCCAAGAAGTCCATGCTTAGACTCTGTGGTCAGGAGACTGTTGACTCATTTGTTCTGGATGTCTCCTTCAGTCTGCGAGGCCTGCAACAGAAAACATGTCTCCTCTCTGGATATAATACCTTCTCATATAAGACTGTAAAAAATACATATTAGGAACAATAAATAATGATGGTTTGTATTGTGAACTGGACACAATAATCATAAACATGTGCACAACATAGAAACAATAAAATGTCTTTCTCCAAACATAACCTGTGTAAAGCTATTTGTTTGTTGTGTAGTTAACCTCTGACCTTGCTGTGGATGGTAGACAGCTGCTCTCAGATCAGTACAGCTATTGAAGTCAGTGCGGCTTTTGATGGTCTGCAGGATTGCAGAGGTTTGTGGAAAAGTAACTTTATGGCGTAACGCATTACCAAGTTCAGTGTTTAACAGCTGGCATCTATCAGCTGTGTGCAAACTAAGTTATGCAGCGCACATGCTTGTTTGAAAATCTTGTTAATTTACAACTCCCATGGATTACTAAAAAAAACTCATGACCTTTAAAACTTTTAATACGACAAAAATGTATTAAAATCATGAGCACAAATAGCACAAGTGTCAGAAAGCTTTGCACTGTGAAGATAAATGTCTTCAGCTCTGGAAGGATGGAAAAAGGCTGCATGTTCATATTTGTGATAGTGAAACTAGAGCTACTAGATAATAACCCTGTTTATAGACTGGAAAGGAATGCAGTGTGATCTTTATTATACAGTTTTTCATCAGTGGTGGAAGAAAAGGATCTTTACAGCGCTGTTAAAGTACTCATTACGCAGCAGAATGGCCTCTGTAGGTGTAATATTATCCTATAATACTGGATTATTAGAAACCAATATGTAAACAACTTTTAATGTTGTGGACAAAGTGGAGCCACTTTAAATACTGGGTTGATAAATATATATTAAACGACCTTATGGGTAGTCTAATATATATTTATTAGACAATCATATTTGAATGTAAAATGACAAAATAATAAAAACAATAATTGTCTTTGAAATGTAGTGGAGTAGAAGTACAGTATAAAAATTACATTACTCAACTAAAGCTTCTCAAAATGACACGTAAGATAATTATGATCCAAATAAACATTAACAAATATAACTTTTGAGGTGTGAGTGGGTTTGAAAAAAAAAAAAAAGCTGATTTATTGTGGCTAAACATGAAAAACAATGCCTGTTAATAACACTTACATTATACATTTTTTATATCAGAATATTATTAAAACCTCCTAATGGCAGTCACATATGGCAGAGCCGTCTGTACTTCCTGAGAAGGCTGGGGTCCTTCAACATCTGTAAAAAAAAAACTGCTGCAGATGTTTTACCAGTCTGTGGTGGCCAGCGTCCTCTTTTATGCCGTGGTTTGCTGGGGAGGAAGCCGCAAGAAGAGAGACGCTGGTCGACTGGACAGACTGGTGAGGAGAGCTGGCTCAGTGGTGGGCACAGACTCTCTGGTGACAGTGGCAGAGAGAAGGACCCTGGACAACACCCACCACCCTCTGCACAACACCTTCACCTGGCAGAGGAGTGTGTTCAGTGGCAGACTGCTGTCCCAATCCAGCTCCACCAACAGACTCAAAAACTCTTTCATCCCCCTGGCCATCAGACAACAGCTCTCAGTGAAGGCAGGGAGGACAATAGACAATAGACAATGAACAATTTCTACCTTCATTTGCACTGTTTGACTTCCATTTGCACTCCACTCCATTGCACGGTTTACTGTTTTGCACTGTTTTACTGTAGCTACTGTGTTTTAAGTTAATTTCATTTTTTATTTTAATGTATGTTTAAAGTATGTAATGAAGTATCTATCTATCTTATCTTATGTTATCCTATCTCTCCTTTAGTGTCCGCTAGAGGTCGCTGAAGCTCCGCACCAGCAGTCACTACAGTCGTTCACAGAGTTCTGCCACTACAGGAATGTAAGCTAACCAATTTCTCCAGTTCGCCATGACAAGACGGTGATTTCATACGACAGCCGGCAGCCACGGGAACCATGTCACGCCATAATGCGGTTAACGGATGCAAACTGGTCGCTGTGCTTCTTCTTTGGTTGGGTAAGTGGGGTCAATGCTCTACTGAGACAGCTACTGTGTTAGCTAAAGCGCTAACACCAAGCACGGACGGTACACAGCGTCAGGACGGTGGGACAATACCGGAAGTTGCTTCGATTCGGCCTTCAGTGTAAAGTTATCAATGTATAATAACAATACATAGAGGACAGTACAGTTTGGATAATTTATCAGTAGACAATTTTTAATGAGAAATTATCCAACCGGGTTTTTTTTAATGAGTTTTGCTGCGGTACTTGTGTTGGTACAAAGATCCCGGAATATTTTGTTTTGAAATTCAAGAAAGGAAGTGGTGAGTTTGCTCTAGTAACTTGACGCACCTCAACTGAATGCAGGTGATCCCGTGGGGGTTTGTGAAATAAGAGGCAGTTCAAGTTAATCAGATACAATGGCAATAGATTTTTTGGGGGGGCGGGGGGATTGGAAAAATGTGCACAGTAAATGGGAAGAATGAAGATAACTGTGAATGAAGTTACAACCTATGCAGACCTAGTTTGTTCGTGAAATTGAACTTCACCCCATGGTCCAATTGTCACCTTTGTTTAAACCCTAGTTTTGCAAATGCAATGGCAACAAGATATTTGTGTGCCATTGCAATTGGCCAGCATTTGCTTTCAAAAAGATACAGGCCAAGTTTTTGCTGAAACTGAGTAATCACACATCTCACAAACAACATCTCTGCACACCTATTCTGATCAATTAGACCTCTGCCCACAGTGCCCAGGTATGAGATGGGCAGGGTTATTCTGGTAAATACATGAGGTCACCAAACTTTGTGTTCTGGTGAATGATTAAGGATTAAGGGCAAAGAACACAGTAATACAGGTCCACAGACTCCTGAAAAGAGGTCTAGTTAGGCAAAATAAGTGAAAACACCTGTGGTGATATGACATGCATCTTTATTTATAATAAGTGTTCTATTAAACAAATTATATAATCAGTTATCATAGTTATATTCATGTTATGTATTGTCCTGTTGTATATGTCAGAGCAGAAAAGGTACAGGTGTAATTAAGGACATTAACAATGACTGCTTTCCATTCACTATCACTTACTGGGACATGTCATTGTCACACAATCATTAATATTATTAATTACGCTGTGCCATAAAGAGTCAAAATGTATGCCGTGAAAGAGGCCTTTTGGCTGATATGGTATATATAATATATATGCATGTATATTTGCTTGAAATACCAATCAATGGAGTCCAGTCAGATATGTACCACAGCAATTAGCCTCAGCCATAATGGAAGTTACTTTCTCAAGTAAGGCAATTGTTTTCTTCCTAGTATGGTGACTCTACCTATTCATCACAGGCACCTGTTGGTTTCTTTTGTCCCATAGTGGTGAAGCAGATGGTATCATGTGAAAAAGTGATGTTCTGGCATACTATAATAATGTACTAAAATATTCACACACAGAATCTTCTATGTAGATTTGGAATACATCAGATCAACCAGATTAAATGAAAACACCTTTGTGAGTCAACTGTGTGACTAGCAGGACCTTGAAGAACTGAAGCCTTGTAGATAGTCAAGTTAATTTTTTATAATATTTTATAATATAATTTATATAGCCCAATATCACCTTATCTCAAGGGGATTACAGCAAATGACACCTTCTATCCTTAGACACCTGATTCAGATAGGGCAAAAATGGAAGAACCCTTAGGAAAAGCAGCAGAGGATAGACACCCAGAAGATGTAGAATAGATCAACAAAGTAAAATTACAATATGGACAATAAAGATCACATTCAGCGACCACATTGGCCTATTTCTCGCCTGAATTTTATCGTATTTAGAAGCAGTTTTTGGTGGTTGGAGAAATTCAACAACTTGTTTTTCAGTGCGAATTATATAACAACAGCCCAGCAAGTGATGCCTTTCCCCAAATCAAGTAGGAAAATAATTTGTGTTGATGTCTGAGTGAGGAAGACAACTGTCCATCAATTACAGTCTCATTTACATCAAGCTTGTCTCAAGTAGTTTGTAGTGTTAATGGCACAGAAACTGTGGGACAACTCTGCCAGGCTAGTTGTCTGTGTGTATTAACAAATATTTTTATGTCATGATGGAAAACATCACTTCAGCTTATCACAGCAGTACTGCAGTACAGTGCAGAACTGCTGAGGGATCGTATTGCCAGTAGTGTTGCAGATCAGTATTTAATTTTGGTGCACCTTGATGCCATAATTAATATGTTTTTAATATTAACTGTAATTTCTTACAGGACAATTAAATTTTCCAGCCATATTTCTACCTTCGTCATAGATTCACATGCTTACGTATATACATCATTACCACCACAAATCTCTGCGCAGTAGCAACTACAGCTGTCCTGGATTATCTTGTTGAGATCGGGATAAGAGTTGATGGTGCAGAAAAGACTCTGCTGCTGTTCGGGTTGTGCTTGCACCATCATTACACGTCACACTGTGAAGGATCCGTCAAGATGTTAAAAGTTGGCAAAGTGGTTCCTGTCCTGCATTGTTATACATAGTTTATACTCGCTGCACTCATGTCTAAAGTGAAGAAGAGTATATTGACATAGACAGTTTCCCAGAGCTCAAGGTGACATATTCAGTTAGCTTGTTTTGTTTGATAGACAGCTTTTTCTGTTTCTATTATACCAATTTATAATGATATAAAACAGCCATTTTAGCTTGATATACGACTAATCCAATATCACCTCTGCTGTCAATGGTTTTTCCGTTGATCTACTGACTGTCAAATCATCAAAAACACGAGTTGGCTAACTAATTCATACATTTTAATGATATAATGATGACACTGTCGCTTCTTTTCAAGGTTCCTCTGCTGCAGACAAACACACAAGTCGTGCTCATGTAAGTGCAGCCCCCAGATTCTCGCTGTGATTATGCTTTATCATGTGGCTCAGCAGTGTGTGTCAGGCTTAACAAGAATCCCTCTGACTCCCCGCAGGCAGCAGAGCACCAGGAGCACACCACACACAGCTCTGTTGGTGAGTGAAGGATTTCACTGCAGATGGTCTGATATCTTGTCCCTAATGACATTTAGGAAAGCAGATCAGTTATATGGTGCATATTAATGAGGTTTATTTGATCCATGCCACCACTCAGCCATTCCAAGATGTACACGCTTCATTACAATAAATAAATCTGAGGGGAGGAGGAGGAGGAGGAGTTAATGGATAGTTTGAGGAAACAGTTGACATACCCAGAAATGTATTTTAATTATTGCAAGTACCAAAAAATAATTCATCATTGGATCCTCCCTGTATCTTTGCATCATCATGTCTCTTTGCCTTTCCTGATTCGTCTCCCCTGTTTATCTCGTGTCTTTCTCAGGATTGGAGGACGTGGCGTTAGTGATCCAGAGTCAGAGGAACTCTTACCATGCCCGTCGAGCTGGGCAGAGGAAGGAGGAGATTCTGCAGCAGGCTGCTCAACTGAGACAGGTAACATCTGGCTTAGTGGTTAGCACTGTGACCTCATAGAGATAATATGCTGGGTTGAGATCATCCACACATGCATGTTAGGTAGGTGTCTGTCTGTCATCAAGATTGAGAAAGTTTACTCTCATAAAACTCTTACGATGGAAATATGATAACCTTTCAAAAATATGGCTGCCCATTACTTTAGTCCAGAAAGAAATGTCACATGAACTGTTGAACGGATTGTGATGAAATACAGACTTTCATGGTTACTAGAGGATGAATCCTGCTGACGTTGGTGATCCCCCATTGGTTTCAAGTGAAATATTTAAGTATGGGTTGGATTGCCATGAAATGTAGTCCAGATATTCATGCCCCCCACTCAGGGTAAACTCTAATGATATTTGAAATGATATTTCAACATCCCATCTAGCATCATCATCATCATCATCATCATTGGAGACTTGGAGTTATGCATTGCTGTTGTACTACACTGGTACCAATAGGTGTCCTCCTTGTCATAGAGCTCCCGTACCTGGGCTGAGAGGAAGCAAGCTCACCACACTCACACAGTAGTTATTTAATAATATGTGCCTGCAGGGTAGCTATGAAAACTAATTTGTTATAGACCTGAGTGAAATGAGATGACAGGCGTATGGACATGACAGCCTGTAGTAGAGACACAGAATTGTTGATTTTCCTTTGATGGGAATGGGTACTGTGAAATAAAGAAACCGTCTTTGATTCCTCGTCCAACCTCATTTTCAGTCCAGATAACCCTCTCCCGATAGAACAAAATGGCTGACGGCAGTCAGTAAGGGCTCCGTGGAAAGATTTCTACAGTATCTTATTAAAAATAAAAAACTGTCTCAGACTGTTGTGAAAGACAACATTTATTTTCAATCTTTATTTCCCCTGACTACTGAAAATTTCAGCTGTTCTTTGTTTCAGATATGATTAATTTTGATCAGGCTGTGGTGAAAGCAGGAAGTATGCAGTTGTTTTTATTAGTTTATAATGATAATGTGGGGATTTGTGGTCTGAAAGACATTTACCATACTCTCCCAACCTTCCTCTGAGTTGGTGCCGTCTTTTTTTTTAGTGAGGAGACTTCTGCAATCCCTTTGCGGCCTGTAATCAACAAATGTGATGTAGCAGCTTAAAAAAAGGGCTGTTTTTGAGCCCATCAGTGAATAATTCAGCGGCGACATCCAGGGAGCAGTGATTGAATTTGATTGTGTTAATTTGAAGCCACGTGTTGGTGGTGGAGGTTTGACGCGTTTCTCCCCGAGAGACGGAAAGAAAATGCAGTGAGTGAGAATGTTGAGAAACATCACATGAAATATCACTGTTACGGTGGGTTTATGGTCCAGCTCAAGCTCCTAGCAATAATACAGGGATTTTGGAGCAGTTTGTGCCCAATCAGCCGAAAGAACATTTGTGAGGACAGGCAGTAATGTTGGATAAGAAGGCCTGGCTTGCAATCGGTATACTAATTCATCCCAAAGGTGTTCAGTGGGGTTAAGGTCAGGGGTCTGTGCAGGCCATCCAAGATCCTCCGCACAAAACTCATCTAACCATGTCTTTACGGACCTCGCCTTGTACCCTGCGGCACAGTCATGCTGGAACAACAAAGGGCCTTTTCCAAACTGTCAAACAAGCCAAACTGGCTAAAATGTCTTAAAGCATTAAGAAGACCCTTCACTGGAACTAAGGGGCCCTGAACAAAACAGCAACAGACCATTATACCTCCTCCACCAAACATTAAAGTAGGCACTGGTGTTCTCCTGGTATCCACCTAACAGATTCACAGATTCGTCCGTCTGACCAGACAGTGAAGCATGATTCATCTCTCCAAAGGACTCGTTTCTGCTGCTCCAGAGTCCAATTGCGGCATGATTTACATCACTCCTTCCAACACTTGGCATTGTGCGTGGTGATGTGTGGCTTTTTGCGCAGCTACTCCGCCATGGGAACACATTTCATGAATCTCCCGACACACAGTTCTTGTGCTGATGTTGCTTCCTTGATGTAGCAATTCTTACTTGCTTCAGCACTCGTTGACCACGCTCTGTGAGTGTGCGTGGTCTATCATTTCATGGCTGAGCTGCTCTAGGTGCTTACATTTCACAATAATAGCGCTTAACTAGTGGCATATTGAGAGAAACAGCTGTGTCTCAACTGAATGAAGGTTGAAAGATTCTGTCAAATAAGAAATTCTTTATAAAATCAGATTTTGTGCTGTGTAAACGGCTACTGGAGCTTCCGAGAGTGCTGATAATAACAGCAAGTTTCATAAATAGCATATTTAGATGCATGTGTGTGTACAATCATCCCTGCATGTGTGCTGTCAGGCTGTGATGTGTTTGTGTGTTGTCTAAGTGAGGTAGGTTTATTACAGCTAGATAGACCTTGATTGTAGCGAGCAGTTTTGCATGAGGGCAGGCTGTGCGTCACGTTTATTTGACTGACATGTAACCAGGTGTTTATTTCGACTGAAGGCGGGGATTAAACATGGCAAACTCTCATAAACTCTGACATGCTGACAGCTTGTTGTTTTTTTCTGTTTATTTTGTGACACTCAAAGGTTTTTGTTGTACAGTAAATCACACAGCTGTGGTCATGGTGCAGCAGCATCTCGGTTTTAATTTTGGTGCTTTGTTTGCACAGATATGTTATTATAATGAGAGATAAACATTTTTGCTACAGCTGTGTAGTACATGGCCCTGTATTTGTTATTGGCAGTAAGTAAGGGCTTTTAATCCAAGACGTCAATGCCAATGTTGCGTCTCTTTCGACTTCGTCATCCAACCTCATTACAGAGTCATCTCATTTGGCCGCTGCTCTCAGCTCTTTTCGCCCCACATGTCACCACAACACTTACAGCAGATGGTAAAAGCCCTCCTGACACTCTCAGAATCTGAAGTTGACCCGAGAAGTGTGTTTGCATGTGAACTTTCAATATGTGGTTGTCTGCGTTGACGTAAAGTAACGATTATTGGATCGATTGCCAATAAATGTTCCCTCTAGGGTCATCGTCCTAGGTCATCGAATAAAGACGTGGGCGGTGTTCAAGTAACAAGTTAATTAGTGAGCTGTTAGGGGGATTTTGTTAGTGTTGGACAGAGCCAGCCTAGCTGTTTCCCTCTCATTACAGTCTTTGTGCTAAGCTCAATGGCTGCTGGCTGTATATAATGTAGTATAATACAACAGTCCTGCAATAAATCCTACTTTCAAGGAGGGTCTATTGAATTGAATTGCATTATACTGACAGGTCAGGTGTTTCTATTATTTAATTGATATCAATTAGGGTAGACTAAAAAATAGAATACCTCTCTGCAAAATGCAATACAGTTCAACAGCAACACAAACATCTCCCAAAAGGATTATACTGTTGAATAAAAAATGATAACCTTCATGCAGGTTGGAGTTATTGCATTACAACTGTTGTGTTAGACGGCATGAATTTTAGCTATAGGTTTACCTACTGGCCACTGAGTGGATATGTGCCCTGCCTTATGTTTTGTGGCACCTCTCCCTCTCTCTAGGCAATCAGCTAAATGACAGTGTGTTCTTCATTACTCACATGTGCTTGTAGGGGATTAATATATGCAGTAATTATATTGACATAATGCTGCTGTTTCACACGCCTCATTAAGAGCGCTGCAGCCTGGAATAACTTCCTCAGTGTCATAAATTAAAGACCATCAGCAGTGATTTTGGTCACTCTCAGGTACTGTTGGTAAAAATGGATGTAACTGAAAGAGGGATTGACCTCTGCTTAGACACTGACTTTCATTTCAGACCTGTTTTTGGCTGTACTTTCTGTTCTTATGTCAGTGCTATGACTTACTGTGTATTTGTCAGTGCTAGCTGCATGGAAGAGATTTGTGAGTTCTTCTGCATGAGTCTTTTAGTGAGGTGGGAGATGTAAAACAGCAGCTTCTGAATCAACTCTTTCCTCTTCTTGCTCTTGGCCTCATTTACAGCCTCTGATTGTCAGAACGATAATTAAAACTGTATAAAAACTCCAAACAGCGCACACAGCAGGATGTGCAGATGTTGTGACTCAACATGTTGTTCATAAAGGCCTACTCATCTGTCACTTAAATGTGTCCTTTCACTTTCGGCTGTACAGTCAAGCATCCTTCAGGGAGATTATGACCCTTGCACAGTGCCCTCTAGTGGAGATAAATTAGCCCTATCATTCAAAAGGACCCTTGTTGTGTCACTCAAAAGAAACAATTCTTCATTTTACTAAACGGGTGTGAGATCTTCTTGAATTACAGTTAAGTAAAACAGTTTAAAATAGATGTTTTCAGTGTGATTTTACACACCCTTGCAATGTTTGTTTTGTGATAGACCCTAAAGTGTTAGCCATGATTCCGATGCTGCCTTTATTTACCCAAAATTAATTTAACACGTGCATATTCTACAAAATACAGGTTCCTAAAAAAAAGCGACATTGTGGGAATATACTGTATATTATGAATGTAATTAAACTGTATGATTTAGGAGATTTCCAGAGCATCCATATGGGTAAATTGAAAATGTAACACTTCAATGCAATATGCTAGAATAAACTAAATTGTTGAATTTGCATTACACTTTACAGCTGGTCAACATGCCAGTATGACCAGTTTTTTTTTTTTTTACCTTAATCTCCCATCCCTCAGGCGCACACACACACACACACACACACACACACACACACACACACACACACACACACACACACACACACACACACAGTTTTTGCACTGTATTTTAAAATGTAATTGTTTTGTTTCACGCAGGGAGTTCCAGTTGTTCTTCTTCTCCATGAGCTGTCAGAGTATGAAGGAGATTGGAGTATCCTCCCTGTGCTTCCTCAGTGAGTGTTAAACACACATATGGAGATGATAAACAAATTCATTCAATCAGATTTAGATTTAATTTAATTAAGCTTTAATAATTCCTATGAGGAAAATACATGCATAACATTAATAGCTTCTTTTGGATCTTCCCAGTCTCTATGCCAATTATGGCCAATCAGCATCCTGGTTTTTCTTCATAGAGGAGGAAACCAGAGTCACACTGCCTGCTCTGCTGCAGGTCCTCCACAGATATCAAGCCCAAAAGGTGAGATCAAGTAGTTTGTGGAGTACCATTTTGAAGCCTCAAGTTTGGCATTATGGTTGTTGCCATGACCGTTTGACGGACCCAGCAGAGGTGACGTACTGCAAGTTGAGTTGTGCTCATCGACTACGCAGTTTCGACCCGTCGAGTGAGCCCAAAAGCATACCCTGCTCTATCGTCTATTTTACTCTAAATTGGACCATAATTTACTAAATGAACATCATGCTGCATGGAAGAAGACTTGAAATTAGAGATTGAGACCATAAACTCGTTAGGAAACCGTTTACTGAGCTGATAAATCAAGTGAGAAGTTGGGTCATTTCTCCATTGGAGTGCATGGTATTGTTTTTTTATTACAGCCAATGGAGCTCCCCCTGCAGGCCTTTTACATAGAATGCAGGTTTAAGACACTTCCACGTTGGCTTCACTTTACAGACCCGGAATCTCTGTACATAATATATTCTGCCAGTGGGTGAGATGCACACACACAGACATGCAAACACCTTCCTAAAAATCATGACTATATATATATTTAAAAACATCTCATGTCACCCTACCCTGTGCCCTTTTTTTGCAACTCACAGGAATGGTTTTTGGGTAAGCATCTCCATGACAACGAGGCCTCCATCATCCACCACTATGCCTTCTCTGAAGACCCTGGTTCCTTTAGCTACCCTGACCCTGCAGCAGGCTGGGCTCTCAGCACCCCACTGCTCCAGAGGTGTGTATGCAGAGCATGACTGTGTCACCAAAATGTTTCTCTCCTTTCTGTTTTTGACACTGAACTCATCTAAATAGGAACTTGAATCATCTAAACACAGCAGTCAATTTTTATATTGGGCCATAAAAGGCCCTAGGAGGAAGTCTTTTCTTCACAAGAAACTTTTAATCTACTGAGCCCAGACTCATAGGATGCAATCTCTACCTGTGCGTATACCCAATCTTTCCAATCTAGAGCTTCTTCTTCCGCTTTCCAATTCCTCAGAATAATTCTGGAGGCTGTTATCATATATTCCCACCATAATAACAGAAAGCACACATTTTAATATATTTGACCTTAATGCAAAAGATGAGTCAGAGGAGTTGCTGAACCAAACCAAGAACCCAGGACTTCCATAGCTAATGTACATTCTCATATACAGTGTGGGAAAGTTCCCACTTCTATTCTTTTGTTTCTCTTCTTTCAACACCTTTTACTTCCATGTGTTTCAGACTCACTGAACGGATCCAATACGAGCATCTGAAGTCAGATTTTACCATCGACTTGGAACATGAGGTACTTTGAAACAGTTTCCAGGAATTCCATGAATCTGTGTGTTAGCTCCTGACTATCACTATAATAACTTATTGTTAAGACTCAGTTCTGGTTCAGTTCTGCTTTGCATGTCAAAAGCATCATCAGTGTCATATTTCGGAAGTTAAAATAGAACTCTTTGGCCACAATCAGCAAAGGTATGTTTGAAGAAAAAAGGAGGTGGATCTATCATGTTTCATGGTTGTGTTCCAGCCATTGGCACAGGAAACATTGCACAGGGGAAGGGAAAAATGGATTCCACTAAATAGCTGAAAAGAGGAAGAAGCTTCTTGCTAAGTACTGACAGTGTACATGCCATAATGATGTTTTTTCAATTTATCAAATAAAACAAAACAATGCAATATTTGCTGCAAATCTTGTATTTTATGTTCCTTACCCTCGAGAGGCTGTGTTTACATCTTTTTAATGAGAAAATCAGTTATTTGTCTTTTAACTTTCACATACAACTGTATAACAACGACAGACAGTATTTCCCCATCGACTGACAGGCCTTTTGTTGGAAAGCTCACAGACTCAACCCCTGCAGCTTTTAATGTCTGCAGTGTTTGATCGATCTACTATTTTATTAATAATCCAAAAGCTCTTGAATGGGTCTAAGTATGTGTATGTTTGAGCGTGGGGGGAGATTGATCAAACAATTACAATTCAACTACTTTTACACTAACAGAAGCAGCATTTCTTGGGAAAACCTTTGTTAATATATTTGCATTGTTGTTTCGAATGAGTTTAAATAACATGGAAAAAGTATTTATGTAATGTTATTAAATTATATATTATATATTATTGTAAATTTAAGGTCAAAGCAAAGTTACTTTACTTTCTTCGTGTCCAACCATTATGTTACTCCTTAAAATTTTAGGGACTGAGAGATTTAGAGTTATTAAGATGTCCAGAGCTGCCAGGAAATTAAAGACCTTTACTGTTTGAGGACCCTGAGCCAACTTTCGTCTCTTATCAGAGGTTGAAACGAGTCCTCTGATGTTTTTTTAACTAGATAGTGCTGTGGTTGTACGTCTTACTTTGTACTGATACTCATAGAACTTAACATTAGCATAAAAATGATATAAAAATGAAATGCAAATCTCTGTTTCAACTGTTACCCCCACAAAGCCTATATTCATCTTCATGTCTGTCTCTGTTTTTCTAGATTGCGTTGTATATTTGGGAGGAAGGAGCTGGTCCAAAGCTGACAGCAGTTCCAGAGTTTTGCACAGAGAGAAGAGAAAACTGTGCTACGACATTTACAACCTACCTGCCCAACTGTGTATGTACAACTCCTACTTATTGAGGTTAACATCAAAGTATTTGGGTGAGTTTTGAAAGAGTGTGCCTGCATGTGTGTGTGAACATGTGTGAGCTTGCATTTGTGCATGTGGTCACGGATGTTGGTGGACAAAAGTGTCAGTAGCTGAAAGGTAATCACTGCAGACAGACAATAAAAAGGTTACAACCCAAAGAACATTAAATATTTAGTAGGTAAACACTGTTAACTTTGTCCTGATATGTGTTACTGAACTGCACAACTTATAAAGGCATGACTAGCTTTTGGTGTGTAATCATCAAATGGAGAAAATCAAAGGAATCTCTCATTGTTTGTTTTATAATCCATCACCTAAAATCACATTTAAAACTCAGCACATTACGCACAATGCCACTGCCAGGGCCTGTTGTGCAAGAGTACAAATACAGGGATAAGTGGGCTGAGTCAGTCTGGAGGCTAGACGGAAACCAAGTAGACAGCGGTACGCCGTACTGAGTGGGATGGAGGATCACTGCAGCATTTGTCTGTTGAGTTGGAACAAAGCAAACACAAATGAGCACTAATGCACATTTCATTGTGAATGACACAAAACTAAAGAAGAGAGATTATACACAACACAACATACGAGACAGGAATGGGTCTCTTCATTTCTTTATCTGAAAAAGTTACAAAGTTAAGTAGACCTTATATCTGCAGCAAATGAGCATTACTTCAATTATGATATGACCAAATACAATGTCAGCTGGTGTTTTTTTGTACATGGAATTCTACTTTATTTACATGGTAATGTTAATCACGTAATTTCTCTTTAGAAGTGACACCATGAGAGTTTGTTTGAAATAAATGTAGTGTAATGTAATACCCTGGAAGTGTGAGAAAACAATGACTATATTTTAAAGAAAGCTATACAGAGATTGTATCTACTCAGAAAGTGAAATGGTCTTGGAGCTGGCATATTTTATTTTTCAACATGTGGCATGGAAATCAGAATTTTAGTAATACATTGAAATAGAATAGTAAATATAAGTAGTAAAATTATTCCCAGATGTAACAAAGTGAGAAATGGGAATAAAATATAAGTGATGCTTCCCACCCCATCTACACCCACTCATTTCAGTTAGGATTAGTGTCAGCCTGTATCTTTCTGCTGCAGCAGAATGATATTCAATGTCTCCTCCTCAAGAAATGTTTGTCCAACAAAAGAGAATGTTTAACCACGGAAAAGTCTCTTTTTACTATACCTTTTGAGTATGATAGAGAGGATTGATTTCTGAAATTAACAAATATATATTTGGTGTACACTGATCATTTAATTTCTCCTGCATGAGATTAATAAAATAAAAACTTCTAAATAAACAGGAATATAAAAATACACTTTGCTGTATACATACATTTTGCATAAAATAACTCCACTCAACGCAGTCTCCACATTATAGGGCAAATATGCCTGATAGAAGCAGAAATTCCATCAGGCCATCTGACACAAAGAATACATGATTAATGTTTCAATTGATATTACAAAAAATAACTGTAATCCATCATGACAAAAAAGTCTAGTATTTATACTGAATATTCTGCAAGGATTGCAGATAAACAATGACAGCTATATAAATAGGTAATAACAATCCCAAGTACTGTTGGTAATTTTCTGGAATAAGAAGGACACCTGAAATTGGGAATTCAGTGCAAAGGAGATATAAGTATTGACATGTCTGGCCAGAAAATCTAAGTGGAGCACGAACACATGGCTGGATATTGTTAGAGGACCTAATGTGCCTCATTTAACCATCCAGACTCAATTTTAAGTCCATTACAATCAGTACATGTTGTGCCTCACACAGTGCACTTTTTTTTTTTTTTTTTACCATTTTATAGCTATGATGCATCGTTTTTTGAATGAAAAAGGACATTGTTTTTTTCGTCTCTTTTCTAGGGTGATCCAGTGTCGAAGAAAGACGTATTTGTTGCTGTGAAAACTTGCCAGAATTTCCACTCAGACCGAGGTGAGTGTGTGTTATTCCTGAGCAGTTTTTGGAAGAAAAAAATATATTCTGCAGTGGTGGAAGAAGTATTCAAATGTTTTACTTAAGTAAAAGTACCAATTTTAATATGAAAATACTTAATTACTAGCATTCAGATAAGGAAAGCAAGGAAAAGTAAAAAGTAAAATTTCTCATTCTGCAGAAAAACTGGTACATGTAACTGATTATTATATAATATTATATAATGAAGCAGGTCGAGGTGGAGCTATTTCTATATATATTCTGGTATACAACCTAGGGGTCAGGCCCCCTCCTTAGGGTCAGAAGATAAATCTAGGAGCCCTTAAGATGATTAATGCAGTAGGAAAAAAGAAACGTTCTGCTACACAGATTTGTGTTCATTTTTATTATTTACTTTTTATTATTTAAATGAAACAATCTGATAGGAAGTCCCTTTGGTTGTTTTTTTTTAGGGATGTCCCGATTAAGTTTTTAGCCCCAGATTCGATCTGAGTCCTTTAATACTATCTGCTGATACCAAGTCTCAATCTGATTTATTTATTTATTGATAATACAGTGCACACTTTGGGTACATTAAAGTTACTAAAACCATTGTACATGCTAAAAATGTAATAGCTCTGCAATGCATCAAGATACAAAATGCCTGCATTGAAGCTGTTCATTAATGTTTTTTAATTTTTTTAACACAACAAAGAATAAAATAACACACGCTCTCTGTAATCTTTTTGCCTTCTCGCTGTCTGGAAGGAGTTTCTCTCTACAGTGTTTCCTTTGCCTGAGTTACCTGAATGAAGTGTTTATTTTCCATCGTCTTTACATCTTTTGCATAGATTACATTTATGAATTACTCTTATTGGCTTTTTATTCGCTGGGCTTTTGTTGCACTTGCAGTGGTGTGTCCGCTCTCTCTCTACCGCTCTCTCCTCCAAGCGCCGGCATTGAAACTCTGCAGCGGGCTGGCCTGCCCCTGCTCTCACACACACAGAGTTGAGCAGAGTGGGGGGGAAAGAGACAGTGGAGAGAGTTGATGATGGCTGCACTGTGCATTTTCTTTGTAAAAACAGCTGCGTGACAGCTGATGTAGATCATGGAGATCGGATCGGGACATCCCTAATTTTTATTTTTGTAAGAGGTCACAAGCCAAAAACATTGGGAAGCTCTGGTTTAATCATAAAGTCCCCCATCCACTCAAAAAGTATGTTTTTCTTCTCATTCCTACAGTTGGATGTTTTAGCCTCAGTGAGGAGAAGGATTTATGTGCAGAATCTGACCTTAGAAGTTTTCACGTTAATCTGCTGAAATTGGAAAGTTTCTCTTTGCTCATTGAAAATCAGATGTTAAGGGACGAGGCCTACAAGATTTATAACATCACAAATATTTTGAGACTGAGAATGGGCTTTACAGTGAAGTAGGAGACATCTTGTGTCCAGCAGGAAAACTTTGAATATTCATAGTTAAAAAAACAAAATATCAGACACACATTATTGTTCCAAGTAGATTATTTGTATATTATGTCTTAACACATGTCTTGAGGGGATCTTTAACAATTACTTTTTTAGTTATTTTTATTTTTATTTAATCTTGTTACGTGTTGTGCTGACATGAACATGAAATATGTAAATGAAATGGAAACTACAGTACATTGAGCTGCAAAAGTTTTACTACAGTCAATGCTTTTTTGTTTACTGCCACAGTCTGCTGGTCATTTAGTCTGAGTTAACCTGTCAGGTGAAAACTACCTGTTTAAACTCACATCCTCATCTAGCCTGTCGGCTGAAATTGCTGAAATTGCAACAGTTTGTGTAATTATCCAAAACATTTATGTTTGTTTTTAGGGTCAAAATGAGCCAGCAGTTACGAACTGACTATTTAAAAGCAATTAACAAAATCAAAGTAGAAAGAACAGTGAGTGATTATTGTTACTTTAAATTCAGGTTGAATTTAGAATTGCATCGCAAGCCGTCACTGTACAATCCATTAATTTGTGGATTTGTTTGAGAATAGATTAATAAAGGATTGGTCCCACTTGCCGTGGACCAAAATTAATTATGTGTGCTTATGACTGTCAGTTAACATTTTGTAGTTTTTATGTAGATGCTGCTCTTATTCAGATCAACATGCAGTGAGTGGTGTTACCCAGTGTCTTGTTCAAAGACAGCATAATTGTTTTCTTCCTCCCAGTCAGAGTTAGTAGTCGTCTTCCATTATTTTGATTACACAGTCCTTTGGAGTTAACAGGTTTGCAGTAGGGGCTTAGAGTTTTAATCATGAGCTCTGGCAGTCATCAAACAGTGATTTAGTGTCCAGAGCTCAGAGAGAATGTTTTATTTTCCCCACCTGGTCTCTTTGTATCCCTCCCCCATTTCTCCTCACAGTGCCAGTGGTGAAAGCAACCTGGGAGAAAGACGCTGAGTTTTTAGAGTTTTACAGCGACGTCACTGATGCCTCCATACCCACAATCAGTCTGGGAGTGCCCAATACTGAGAGAGGTGAGCTCTAAGTGTCTTAAAACATGTATTCTATATAATGGCCAGCAGGGAGTAGCTCCACTGAAGATCTTATGAAGAAATTACTCTTCTAAATGACCTAACTTCTCACTTGATTTATTAGCTCAGTAAACAGTTCCCTTATGAGTTTATGGTCTCTAGTCTTCTTCCATACAGCATGATGTTTTTGATGATGTAAATTATGGTCCCAATTAGAGTAAAACAGGCGATAAATCCCGACATGCTGTAGTGCGTGGTAACCTTGTGATTGACAGATAATTCTCAGTGAGTCTGTCCAGCTCACCACATAAAACTCAAACCGTCAAAATAGGCAGCGCTGGTCAAATGTTAAGGAAGATTCTGCAAAAAAACCAACATGCCGACAGCCATAATGCCAAACCTCGAGGGTTCAGAACGGTACTCCACAAACCAACTGATGACGATAGGTTCAGACTTGGCAGAAACTCACTGGGTAGACTTGCAGCAGGGATAGTAATGTAGGTCTGTTGGTCCGCCACTCACTCATGGTGCCGAGAGAATAAATCCTAATTATCGCATGCCTTCGTCTCTAGCACCACCAGAAGGTTAAAGTTTGCATTCATTCATTGAAATATGTCATTATTTAGTAGATGAATTGGCACACAGTTTTGTACATTCGTTGTTCCCAGATGATGTTACATGATGACTTTGCAACCAATACCTGTTTTCTGAACAAGCGCGTTTCATCGGTTGTTTTGTTTTGAAGGAGGAAGTTACTGCAGACTCAATTTAGACCAATGACTAAAGTCCGGACTCTACTCTACAATTACTACAGCTCTGGCCAAAGTAAGCCCTTCACAGAGCTGCTAGTATGGCTGTTGATTTTTTTTGTGTCTGTGTTGCCCTTACTTGTGTGCAATCACCCACAATGTCAGCAGCTCTGTGGTTGTCAAGTTCAAACTGAAGTTCAAGTGGTAGTTCAGTCACAACCCTGCCACTACTGTCCATCCCCTTTTGTTTTCCTCCGTTTTATTCCTGATGTAAGCTCCTTCTGAAAGGGAGATAGAAAGTCCTTCAGACTCTGGAGGACTGAGGTGTAACGACCCCTGACTTCCTGTCCTCACATTCTTCAACTGCACTACAAATGGAGGACTCAATGTATGGACAGACAAATCAAAGGCATTAACCACAAAGCAATTCCTTTTCCCAGTGAAGAGGTGGATAGATGACGCTTGAACTTCCTCATAATAGGCTCTCAAGCCAGAAATAATAACTGCACTAATGATCAGCTTAAGTGAGAAGATGACAGCCACCAATTTTATCTTCCTATCCTTGTCTGAGATACGCCTGATTACAGGATAGATCTGTGTGTGTCCCTCCCTCTAATGTACCTATGAGTCCTTTCACACAGCAGGGGGACAGATACAGTGTCAACAACACCTCCATCTCTTTCTCCCATCCATTCTTATATTCACAGGCTGATGGAGTATTACACTGCCTGTCATGTCCTCTGTCCCATGCCTTTTTCCTCATTCTTTTTGTGTTTCCCTGACACTGTTTAATGCTTTCCAAGTCTATGCTTTTATTCATTTTCTCATTCTTTCCCCTCTCTTCCTTTAGTCTGATATTCACTCCCCCTGTTAAAGCACCACATTAACCTGATGGTCAGGAAAATAAAAGCAATGGGAATGCCCCTCTACTTCCTTGTTTTCTTTGTTTCTTTGTCTCTTATGAATATCTATGTACTGTGGATCGACTTGGAGATATCTTTTTTCTACCACATCCTTTTTCCATTCATTCAGCACAGTATTTTCTTCACTACTATGTTTACGGGCTATTCCTAGTTACTTTGTCTTGATGTAAACATATTCTGTGTTCTTTCTAATTTTTCTTTTACTTTTATTTTACTGTATGTTTGTGCTTTCATTTGTTTTATTATTTTGACACAGCAGTGCTTCGAGCTAAATGCTAATATCAGCATACTAACATGCTCACAATGACGATGTAATGTGTGATGTTTAGCAGGTTTAATGTTTACCATGTTCACCATCTTAGTTTGAACGATGTGTTAGCATGCTATTTTGCATGCAATGCATTTGCTAATTAGCATTAAACACATAGTACAGCTGAGACTGATGGGATGTCATTTAGTCATAAACCGAAGTATTGGACATGGTGACGGCAAATGTCTGTACAACATGTCATGGCAATGCATCCAGTGGATGTTGAGATATTTCAGTCTGAAACAAAATGACTGATACCGGATCTGGCCTTTAAAGTCGATGCAGATCATGTTTTGCAGTGTGTGCAGTACCAGTTAGTGTGGTTTAAATCTCACTGCTACATTCAACCATTATTGGCAGACCGACTATTAAACAAAACTGCTATGAATAATAATATCAGCACAGTGTGGAATTTCTCACCCACACATTATCAAACAAACCTAGCCAGCTCAGTGCTAGTTTAACGGACCATATCTGTCATATGAGCACAAATCCACTTCATGAATACAAATTCATGTTAATCTCTCAAACACACACAAGCACAAAGACATTCTCCTTTATCTTAGGGGTCAAAAACAGCCCATTGATATCCTAATTTAATAGGGATCTGAGGAATTTGCTCTTCTGTAGAATTTCCCAAGCCTCGCTTAAACTTGCAATCCCTGCTTCATCATCTTTTTGTCTATATGTTGTCTCCCTGCAGGACACTGTGGGAAGACATTTGCCATCTTGAGGCGGTTTCTGAGCAAAGCTGTGCCAAAGGCTGATTGGCTACTCATTGTTGATGATGACACACTCATCAGGTAACTGGTAGAAGTTTTAACATTTGTTTTAACCTGCCACTCCTGACATCTGCTGACATTACAGTGAGAGAGATGTTAATCTTTACATGTCCACACAGTCCTGAGAAAAGCTCAGTCAGCCAAAATCAACTCTGGAAGTGGAAAATGGATGTGTAGGACCTTTAAAGTTGACTGTTTTGGTGCAGCACAGAAACAAACGTTAGAAACTATTTGGATTCTCTAAATATCCTGTGAAGTGCATTGTTTTGTGTGTCTTCGTACAGTCAAAACTTTATGGTATGTGCTCACTCCCTGTCTGTTGATCTGTTGATCATTGTCCCCCTGTAGTTTACCCAGGTTGCGGCGACTGCTGCGTTGCTATGACCCAAAAGAAGCAGTGAGCCTGGGGGAGAGATACGGCTACGGCTTGATTCAGAACGGATACAGCTATACCACAGGAGGAGGAGGGTGAGGCTAAAGGATGAAGGGAATGTGGTTGTGCTGCAATCAGTGTTCAATCAGATAGCGAAGCAGTTGTGGGTGCCCCCTGGTCGCTAACCGCACTGGTAGTTCTTACTGCAGTGGCTGGGGATTGAGTCCGGCCTGGCGTATCCTGTCTCTCTGTGTTGTTACTGTCAAATAAACTGAAATTCAAAGAAAAAAAGAAAAGAGAAAGAGAAGCACTTTTTCCACATTGCATTGTTCGCATGACAATTCGACCGTTTACTGGTCCGAAGCAGCCAATGTAACAACTGTACAGACACTGTGTTCAGCTCAGCCTCTGATTGAACTCAGAACTCTGGTCCTTTTTTATTTCTCTCCAGTCGCTATCCTTTCCCCTTTCATCGCTGTATGGTTATGAAACAGATTCATAAAGCCCCAAGATATTTGTACTCAAGTAGAACATTTTCAGTTTTCAACATGCACGGATCAATAAGAACCTCCCCAAGAAAATTCACATCTACTTGTGTCTTTTGATTCAGTTTGTATGCGACCACGCTCAAATTTGCCATGTCTAAACACAGTGATTGTAAAAGGGCAATAAAGCTGCTATGCCAGGTTTTAACATTATCACAGTAAAACAAACTCAGAACAGGAAAAACAACACTTTGGTCGGTGATCATCGGCGAAAAAAAACCAATTCAAAATTAAAGAAGAATCAACGTGAGTGTGAGATATGTTGTACAGTGCAGTCTGTGTCTACTTGCCCCACATATTCATTGCAGCAGCAAATATTGAATTAGATATTTACAATGTTAGGGCCATTTTTAATGAATGCACCACATGATAAAATAGAACATTTTAAATAATATCATATAGAATTTAGCACATTTGACATATCTGGTATTGCTGGAAGTGTTTCTGGCCACCTGATGACTGTCAGCCCAATATTCACTCCCCTTTTAGCTCTGTTCTGGTCTCTACCAACTTCTGAAGAAAATATCTGGCTCTTTAGCTGCTAAATGCTCCACTATGTTCACCAGCTAACTTTGTCTGTATGCAGTCTTCAGGGCTTCTTGCTGAAAACAGCAACCTACTGCAGCTGAAATGATGATGCTGATGAGAGTGGATAGTTCTTGGCTACACATGATGTTAAAATGAAAAACAGTGTTGGAAGTGCTGATAGTAATGACGCACAAAGCAGGTGTTCCTGATATACTATTCATGTTTTCTGTGTTCTGGGTGTAGGATGGTGCTCAGTAGGGCGGCGGTGTCCAGGCTCATTTCCAGTGGTTGTAGCTGCTACAGTGATGATGCTCCTGATGACATGGTGCTTGGCAGGTGCTTCACGTCCCTAGGTGTTCCCATCACACACAGTCCGCTGTTCCACCAGGTAGGGAACAATACACACACACACACACACACACACACACACACACACACACACACACACACACACACAAGCCCATGTTCTTGATATGATTGTGAGGACTTCTCTTAACTAAATTTGGAGTTTGTATGCACTATCCAGTGGCAAACAACTGCCTCTCTCAAGGAACGAGAATACTGCTGAAAGAATGTGCTTGCTGTGCTTTTTTATTGCACAAGCTCAGAACATTTTTTTTCCAGAGGAATCATCTTGCAGGGGACAATGCGGTGTCATATTATTTGGGACTATAATGTAATCCATTCCTTTTGGCAGGACATACAAAAGATTATAGGGAGTGGACTTGATATTAAGATTGTGTTTTGTTTGGATGTACTATACCTTGTTCAGTTACTTGCAAACAACAAAATATTTGTTTAAAATAATCGTGACTGCAAGTAAACAAACTATAACAGCCTATATTACAAGACTTCATTGAAATTATATATAGTGAAGGAGCTTTGTGTGATAGAGAAATCAACCTTTTCTTTAAAGCTGCAAGTAAGTTATATCGGGCTAAATGGGTACTATACTTTAGTGCCATTTTATACATTTTTAAGGGCATAAATAATGGACTAAAGGGCCACAGGTCAGACTAAAGCGATGGTCCGCTGCAGCATGGACTCAGCCTTGGAACATTCAAAAAGGCTTCTTCTAAGATAATATTAATTCTCTATGAAGGAAATCTAGGTCATAGTGTGTTTTGAAGAACAAAGCCAAAGGCAAATGGACTTCCTGTTTGATCTTGGCTTTCTGTTGTTCTCCAATGCCATTGTCTTGTCTTTCAACTTCCTGTCAAACATTTAGCGCTTTTTATGTAGCAGCACTAACACATGTCCCCTAGCACAGCTGCTCATTTGTCATATCATATGTTTTAATTAGTGTATAATCACCTGAAAATAACGGACAAATTCACAGTGGAGACTCATTTGGAGACATAATCCAGTTTTCTGTTATTAGCTTATTATTGTGTAACAAGCTGATAATTCATATTCATATCATTAGTACAAATATATATAATATATAATTGGGTGAAACTTGTATTTCACTTCATGTTTATAAAGTAGCTTACACACCAACAAAACAGAAATCAGCTGGTTTAATGATTGTTTGTGGCAAATACAGATAATATTAATAGTGTAGCCTGCATCGTCTTACTGATAGGTAAAGTGCAATTCTTCACCACAGAAACAAGCAGTTCATGTCATCAGGTCATATAGACTCCTCATAAATGTGGACCAATCAGCCAGCAATAGCGACCAGAAGTTTACAGACAAAACTGGAAAAGGTACAAACAATGGGTCGGGCACTTAAGGACAATGGAGATGCACAGATAAAAATAAAAAGGCCCAAATAAGACATGTTCCCATTATTTTGTTGGTTGCCTGCATTGTAGAAGGATGTAGGTGTTGTTAGTGCATGTAGATGCAATATGCATGAAAGCTGATGTATTACAAAGGATGTCAGGAGGAAAGTTAAAGTAAGATTGTAGAATATCATGCTGTCGTGTCATCACTATGAATTTAAGCCTGTCTCACCCTATTTGTTTCTGCTGCCTTTCTAAAACCATCTCTCACCCTGCCTACACAAAGATGTGCGAACAGAACCGCTAAATATACCAAAAGCACGCTTAAGTGTTGATGAGAGCCAGATTTAAGTAACATTACCCTTTATTCAGTATCAGATGATGCTCTGCGTGACGCTTTTTTCACGTTTGTCTTCCCTAAATGTAGGTGGTAAAAGACAGAAAGACCTCCCTCTGGGTTACACAGGCTGCAACAACAAAGTATTGAATGAACTAGCCTGGAGCAGCTGTCAAAGTGTTCACAGCAGTGGAAATCCCCAGAATGTATTAATTATTCAGTAGACACATACATGGGCGCATGCAGAGATAAACCATATGTTCTTGATTTTTTTAGGCCCGACCAGACGACTACTCTGAGACACTGATCTCCTTGCAACAGGCCATCTCCTTCCACAAGCACTGGAACATAGATCCCGTGGCTGTCTACAAACACTGGCTGCAGGACACACATCCACGAGATGAACTTTAGAAGTAAAGTGCGTATGTAAAGTGAATGTATACTGATCAATAGACAATTAATTCACATATGCAGAAGAGCAAACAAGCAGCCACTACTACAGGAAATGTAATAGCCTAGCTACTGTGGAGGTACCAGTCCCTGAAACATAATTCTTCTTCTTCCTTATCTCTGCATTGATACATATTTTTGATATCAACAATAATTCAAACGACTGTTTGTAATTGAATTATCACCCAAGTCTCCACAGATCCTTTTATTTAATGGCCTGACACCTGCTGTATGATAGAGTCAGAGCAAAAAAACAAAGGAAACTTGCTGAATGGATGCTAATATGCCTCTGCTGTATGTGTAAAGGTGATTGTTTGCTAACATGTTAGCCATAACAGCTGTATAAGCCATGGATGTAAGAATGGTGGTGTGTCTGTCAGCCTGTTTTGAGTTTTTTTTTTTGTCCCATAGTGGCCAATTACTGTAATGCAGCTTTAATGGAATCAGACATTTTCAAAATTTAAAGTGAAGTTAGCTACTGAAATCCGTGCTGAAAAAAAACACTTAGGGGCCAATCAGACTGAGACAAATCACTGCAGGCACGGCCACTTCAAAAACACCTTGGCACAGCGTTTTGGGCAAAACAGCTGGTGCGCCTGTGGGGCGGGACTGTGTGCGTAACTGGGCAGATTAAATATGATAAGTGGGGGAAAAAATGTATTCAAGCAGACGGTGAGATCTTTTCATTGCTGTCTCTCTGAAAGACAAGTAACCGACATTAAACTATCACAACATGAGCTTTGAATTTCCCTTTTCCCTCTTGTATACTTCGTACCTCTCACATCTACCAGCATCAAAAAAGAAATGGTAAAGTAGTAAATGCCCACCTCTTGCCTGATTCGATTGGCTGCCTGGGCCATGTGTGACATTGATGAGGGGTGTGACTCTGTGCCTTGCGCGAAAAGTTGAGCATATTAGGTTTTTCTGCGCGCCCCAAAAACCGACGCATTTCTAGCTTGGTGTGATCGCCCTCTAAGAGTCGGTAGTATTTCTTCAGGGCTTTGAGTTATAATGCGAAGGACAGCATGCTGACACTTATGTTTACCGTGCTAAGCACATAGTTAAGCAAAAGTAAAGTAAAGCAAAGTACCATGAATGTCTCTACCAAACCAACATTTTGGGAATCAATCCTATAATTATTGCGATATTTGTACCAAAGTAGCGGACTGACTGACTGACGTGAAGCTAGTGTTGACAAAAATAGTAGGAGGACTTTCAGGTTTTTCTTACGTCAATGGCAATTAGAGGGACTGCACGCGGATTCAGTATTAAACCACTGCTTCTTTAGAATTGTGAGAGTGTATGTGTCACTGCTGTCACTTCAGATCTGCCATGACAGCTGCATAAAAAGTGCCAATCTTGACAATACAACAGTTAACATGAAATACTAAAAAACAGATAACAATACTTAGCAATGCTAAAATAAACTAGGAATACAGAAAAGTAACAAAGAAGTCACCATAGAATTTGATTTCACTGAGACATATCAGATTCCTCAATTTAAGTTTAATTTTAACTTCCAACCAGATATTACCATGAACATTTATTTCGGTAATATTTTTAATATATTGTGGTCATGTCACTTCCAGATGAATGCACTTTTAAAAGATAGATTGACATTTGTGGATATATGGCACAAATGAGTTATATATATATTTCTCAAAATGTCAAACTCTTCCTGCTTACATTTTTATAAATATATATATTTTTAGTAACTCTGAAACTGACTTCTGCGTGAAAGGTTTTGTGTACATGTTTTATGTATTTGCCACATTGGAATATGATTGGGTGAATGAGTTTAATAGAATTTTGTTTTTGGTCTGTGGAGAGCAAAACTGTGCGTACGTTACTGAGTGTCCACATGTGTAAGAGCGAGATTACAACCGCAGCTGGCAAACCTGCATTAAAACGTCATTCTGCAGCTGTGTTTTTGAATATTTAAAGGTTTGTTTGTGCTTGCTGAAAAACTGTTATTTCCTTAAATTAAATGAGATTTTTTAAATCATTTGAAAATAAATATGCATTGGGTTGAAATAAATATATGTCATTTGTTTTTTGTTTTTTGCATCATAGCAGACTGTAAAGGAGGTGAGAATCTCATGCTGTTATAGGACACACACACACACATGCACACACACAGAAACACAAAATCATGTCTGTCTTCCTCCACTTCACAAATCATTGCTAAATGATATAAGTAAAGTTGTGGTAAACAAAATTCTGCTGCTATTTTGGCAAAGATTCTCTGAGAAAAATAGATTTGAGCTTAGTAGACTTATCAGAGTTAAGATACGTGTTGCGCTGCCAAATGATTTGTAAGTGGGTATCAGTGAGTCTTGAGTCATCGTCACACTTTTTTTTAGTAAGCACAGCTCCTTAATAGCCTGAAATAGTTTGTTTTTCAACATTTGATGTTGATTAAAGTTGTAGAATGAAGATTTATAGTTCACTGATTCTTCTCTGCCTGTGTCTTTCTTTCTTTTTTCCAAGATTCGTCCCTCTCATTGAGGCCAGAGTCGAGAAAAGTTGTGAAGTGCCTCAATATCATGTCATTGTGACATTAGTTACCATAGCAACAGGGGTATTGACTGTCCATAGTGACAGTTTCTCTTTGAAGGCTTTGTATGATGCCAGGCAGATGTCACAAATATATATTCAGCATGCGTTCTTGCAGAAAGAATTAATACATCACTGTCACATTATTCATAACATCAGTGAATAATTACTTGATTTTTTTTTTTAACGGTATCTGTTCAATTGGCTGTGATATGATTTTTCACAGTCAATTAGCTTCTGTGTGAACATGAGGTAAAATCATATAAATAAGTTGCTAATCAGTCTATTTTCTTTTGCTCTTCTTAATTCTCTGTTGAGGTAAAAAACAATTCTATTTTTAATTACAGCTCTCTTGAGTTGCTTATCAGGATGCAGCGGCAGGAATGTCATACAGTTGCTATCATTAAATTGATTTTTCATGTATAAATGTAACATTACAAACTTCACAAAAATGGATCGCTCTGTTCCACACACACCTCCATCATTAATGCAGTGACATTTCATAAACTCCCGAGTGCTTTCTCTCTCACTGACACGCGCGCTTCCAGCTCTGCAGTTCACAAATAAAACTGTTAGGAAGGTTGGTGCTTGTGTTGCAAGAGTTTGCAGCAGCATTGTTCAAGTTTGTACCTCTCCCTCCGGAGCACCCCTGTTTCTTTACATGTTGAACGGTAAATCAGCCTGATTTAGTCAACACGAATACAGTTCTTATTATCCTGCCTCAAGCATCTTATAAATCATGGAAAGATTTAGTCATGGTTGCTTTTAGTCTGTAGCTTATTACTGCATGTCAAATGTTCTTCGTACGGTTGGCTTTCACGTTCCTGAGGTTCTCCTGTCACTGGCATCTTTAGCTTTCAGTAGTGATTGAATCTTTTTCTTTCTTTTTAAATGGAGAGAGAACAGATTCAAATCAAAGCTGCGTCCAGGATCAATGCCAAAATTGTTATCATTTGGATGGTGAGGAGGAATTTTCAGTGCGTCATAAATCATTTTGAGTCAGAAAATCAGCCAGCACTTGTTTTTTTCACCTCTATTGTAACTTCTGCTTGTCCAGTTAAAAACAGTTTTAGTTGTTGTTGAAGGCAGAGTCTGTGATCCAAACACAAGACTGGAATCTGCAATCACCCACAAATTGATTGACTTTACCCTCAACCGACTTTAATAGTTGCCAAAACATCTAAAAAAGACTTAGACCAGATTTCTATTAAATTTGCTTTTCATGGTCTAAGGTTGAATCCTGAATGTTATGCTGTTGTTATGTATTCACTTTCCTGTAGCCCCATAATCAAGACAAAATGTCAGTTTTTACACAATAAATATCAAATTGCAATGTGCAGATATCCACAAAATATACTGGCTTCTGTCTGTCACTTCTTTTTTGTCTTTTCTTTTTAAGTTTTGTTGGGACTTTTTTGCCTTTATTTTGACAGCTCAAGGTAGACAGCAGAGACAAACAAACCATTTAATGTAGTCAAACTCTTACCGAAGCGGAAGAAGAGCATAGAAATCTTTTCGAACAAGAAAAGCCTTCAGTGCCGTTCTTTGCTCTTCTTTCACTAAAGAAATAGTCTAAAATAACTTTTGATAGCAGCACGCGAACCTCCTCGCACATTGACTGTAGCCTGGCAAGATGGATTCTTGCATGATCTTGTGATTGAGCTGCCTCGCAAGGTTAGTGCTGAGTGGAGAATTCTGGTAGGATGTATGTAGGTAATGCATTGTTAAAAATATGTTTGTGTGTGCTTTCCTTTTTGCTTATCTTGAATCACAGGTGACTGATGACCTCTAACAAGTCACCCTGCTTTGTAAGACTTAGTGGATGCAAATTACAAATATTCTCATTTTACAAGGCAAGAAGGAGCCACAGGGTATGTAGGCTTGAGTTTATTAGAAGCTTCTGTAAGATTGTGTGCCTAGGCTTGCACTGCCACATGCATTTACACAAAAGGTATACAGACACATCTTCCCATGCTGACAAATACCCTCATCAGGTCACCTTTAAAACCCTTATCAAATCTTAGGTCACTGCTAGTAAAAGGCCACGCTGACTCCTGTGGTGTGTTACACCTCCAATGTTTGATGTCCTGACTCACAATATGAGAAGACGTGACCTTCTGCCTGACAGAAACTTTGTCAGGTCCTTCTCAAGACGAAATAACATCCCAGAACTGCAGATTCAGAGGCCTGGTGGCTCTGTGCACCGGAGGTGTCAAGCAGTGATGGATGAAGGTGCTGTTTTGTTTTTCTTGTTTTCTTTTGAAGGACCGATGTGGGATTTATGGGGATCTGTTAGCAAATATGGTAGTAATGGAATATAATTAAATTGACAATTAGAATCGTTGTGTTTTCGTTACCTTAGAATGAGCATTTTAGAGGGAGTGGGGTCTCTTTGCTCTGTTGCACCACCTGAGTTTCGCGACCACCATGTGTTCTCCCACAAGCTTGGAAGAGAAGGATGAGGTGAGGGGTATTTAGTTGGTTATAATCTGCAACTTCACTGCTGGATGCCAATAAATCCTACACACTGGACTTTTATATTTTTGCAATATAAGTAAAGGACTTTGCTCTAGAGAGTTTTTTAGTTGTATATTTGTATTATTAAATATACATATATTAAATATTATTATTGTATAATTGTATGGTTGCATATTCATATTTTCATAGCACCTTTGAAAGGTAATGTTGTTATCCTGGCTGAACACATGGTTTATGCATGTTTTGTTCCAAGGCACCCATGATGATCACATATGAAGGCTTTAAACACAGCTTTTGTTAGGTGTAGTGTAGCGTGATGCATTTTGTTTTATGGTGAAACCAGCCATCGCCCAGGTGTAGCTAAGTGGGACCAAGCTTAATTCTCCACCGTTTCACTTGGACTATTGGAAAGAGCTTGGCACGCTTATTAAAATTATGATTTTTAATAAAATGCTAAATAACAGTCTGTGCTTTATATTAGCAACTACTCCTCACTTATTCTCAGTAGAATAATATTATTGCAAAACTGAGGATTTGTCTCACATTTTCAAGCGTAAACTGTCTTTCTTCATTATAGCCGAGGACCATCAGAGTCACGTATCAGGCCTAGTTTGGGAATAGAAGAGGTATCAATATCAACCCATACAAATGATTCATTAAGTGCTAAAGCTGCTTCAAAGAGAGATGAGAACACATTTGTAACACTTCTGAACAACAGTGTGAAGGAAGCAGCATCTGAAATCTTTGATGTATACCAGAGGAATAATTTATTGCTCTCAAAGCACACACAGATCCCCTCAAAGATGTTAACCCACTGACTGACTCGTATAGTGAACCATTTACTTCCTCTCACTTTTATGACTGCAAGGCACACGCAGCTGCTGACTGATTTATTTATCATATTATTTATTAACAAACAAACTGGTTATTTTTCTGGCACATTCAGAGAATAATTTTGATTTTAAAATACTGTTCTCGTCTTGAGACTGTGTTTTAAGTTTAAAGTTTCATCTCTCAGCAGACCTTTTTCTCTGTAATAGTCTGTAATAGTGATGTTTGGATTTATGATTGCAGCCATAAATGGATTAGCCAAGTTTAAGTGCCTCCCGGTGGCAGTCTTGAAAGCAAACTGATGATGAATGCGTGTATCGGTTGCAGGTATAAAGTGTAACGCTAAATTCAGTTTGCACGCTTAATAGCTCATTAGCTAGTCATCTGCAGCGCATTAAACAATGTAAACGTACTTGCAAATATAATTTAGGTCAAGTTAGATGTTGGCATGATCTTTACTCTTCAATACCACTGCTAATAACACCCCTTCTGCCCACGGCTTGAACAGAAAGCTATAGTGTGAGTTAGTTTACTTTGCCTCTCATTCCCTTGTCGGGGCTCAGCCTTTTATTAATATTCCTGTCAATACATTTGGAATAAATTTAGAACACCAACACTTGGACATACTTTCCACATTCTGTGTCCATGTTGATCTGGTGGTCCATGCATGTGTATTTCCCAATTTATTCTCCATTCTCGTTGGTTGTTTGCCAGCTGCCATACAAATCAGGAAGAAGAAAAAGCATGTACAAGAAAACGGTGACCTCACAACATAATTGTTGCATTGTTATATTTTGAAGATAAATTCTCTGAATGTGGGTAACATGGAATCACCTTGCATAACCGATCCATGTTATCTGTGGTTTGCACTGCTATGTGGTCACAAAATGGGGGGCTGCACACGGACCCCTGTGAGGAAAACCACGCAGACCCTTGCAGACATGGGCGAATTATGACATTTACGTCACTCAGACCAAAGCGGACTTTCAGCTGAACCTTAAAAACATTCCATTGTCTGGCCATAAAAACACTCCTTGGCTACCTTGTCTGTATGGGTCATCCTGTAGCACTGTTTTGGAGAGTATGCGTTTTAACTATGACAAATAACTGCGAGGCTGAGAGTCAGCACTTTAACCCCATTGTTTCATTTTAAATCCAGTGGGCTGGACAACA